TTGCCTCCTTGCCTCCTTGCCTCCTTGCCTCCTTGCCTCCTTGCCTCCTTACCTCCTTGCTGCCTGGCTTGCTACAATTTCTTTTTTATTTCTTTTGTTTCTCCTTTTTCTCTTTCCTTTTGTCTTACTCTTTTAATCTCGCTCACTCACTCGTGCTTTTTATCAATAGAGGATACGACTTTCCTTGCATGTCCTCGGAACCTCCTTCAAGCCATGGCAGACCGGGGAAGGTACACCGAAGATGAATTTTGTCACACGAAAAACGAAGATGGCTGCGCTATGTATCACCGAGGAGCTAAACTTTGTATAAGGACCATTACTCCGAGGTATGCTAAGGACCTGTCTACATGGGAGGAGGATGATCCTACGGGTAGGATCTTCCTTGCAGGGGAATCAACCTACCGGCTATATATTTATTGCTTTCTGTTTACATGCACATTGGTAGGCTTCTTTCGGGTACTAGGATCTTCCTAGCAGTAGGATCTTCCTGTCTCGCAGATAGGAAGATCTTAGCACCAGGGATAAAGTTTGCAAGTGTTTTTCTCATGTCAACTGAATGCATGGTTGATTCACCTGCAGGAAAGATCCTAGTTGTAGGATCATCCTCCTCCTATGTGAACATGGGCTAAGAACGGTTAGTGGCAAGTTGCAATAATGATCCATAATGCCAAAAAATGTCATGCAACTGTCAAGGGAATGACTCATTGTTGAAGTTGTGCAATCTTTTTACTTATACCGTTAGTATTTGTAAATAATTTTGACGCTGAAGTAAGGCTTATCCCAAGTAGATGAGCTTGTAATCAAGGATAAAAGCGGTATTTGTCTAATTTAAAAACTGTGTATTTTTACTTTTTTACAAGTGATCAAGGAGCTGGTCAACAGTGTTGCTACAATCACCAAGGTAACCTCATGCTTAAATTTGGTAGCGCGGGAAGTCTGGACCGAGTACATGTCGACAAAGGGATTCCATACATCAGCCATTTTTTCCACGACATTGTTCCATATTTGGACTGCTGTTTTTTGTCAAGTGGTGCAAGCTGTCGGAACTATTATATAAAACGACCATCCGACAATGGACAATACTATGAACCACCCCGACCCGGTGAGTCAAATTTGTCATGGACAATATTATGAACCACCCCGACCCAGTCAGTCGGTTTTGCTATGGTTCCCTATAGGGTAGGGGACAGGGCAAAACTCGTCTGGTCGTTTTTCACTTACTGATCAATTTTTCCGGTTGCATATATTGAGGAAATAGAAAACGTACACGTGTGCTGTGTGCATTTATAAAGCATTCGGGGATTGGCAGAACACGAGAGAAGGGTTAGGAGAAGCATAATGCGTAGTAGAGTGCTTCTCGACACTTCTCGAGGGTTCTACCAATCCCCAAGTGTTTTATAAATTCACACAGCACAGCAAGCAAGCGTTTTTTTTTTTTTTCATAAAAAACAAATTACGTTATCTTAGATAGGAATGACGTAATTAAAAGTGCGCAAGCGTGGTGTGTGCTCTCATAAATCACAAGCTCCCAACCAATCAGAATGCGAGATTTATTACAGTTATTTAATGAATTATTTTTTAGCCACTGCTTTTGGCGATCCCCACATGATCACGCTCGATGGAGTGGAATACACTTTTAACGGCTACGGTGAATTTAAAATACTCAATGTTCCGCTCTGCGACTTCACGCTACAGGGAAGAATGGAACCACTGACTCGCCGCGATATGGGCACAGTGTACACTGCTTTTGCAACCAAAGAGAATGGGTCCCACACTGTACAGGTAAGAAAGATATATCTCACGTCACGTGATGCAGGTCACGTGGTCATATTTATGCAACAATTGACAAGAAGCGTCAACATTTGTGCCCATTTTTACCGAATGACGTCATTGAACGTATTTGCGAGGTAACATGGCGGGCAACGAGCATGTAACGAAATTGGGAAAAACAAAGGCATGGTGGAAAAATTGCGTAACATAAAATAATTTATTACAATATAATAGACCTTATTCCTGATGCGACAATGTTTTTCCAATTGAGCGTGACAAACCTTTAGGGGAATGAACAGCTATTGTTTTGAAACTCGTCGGGATATCATCGTTATTTCCTTTGTATCCATTGTCAAACCACGAATAAGGGTTATTGCTCTACTGTAATTTACCATATCTTATACGCCTAAATCCAAAATGGCACATGGCCAATTGAAAGCGAGGCATCCAGGGCCAAATTTACAGTATTTTCTTATAATTTGATGCTACCAAATTATCGCGTTCCTGAATATAAGAAGGAAAGAAAGACAGAAGAGTGTATACTTTGCATTGACACCATATTATTTCTTTGCATTTGGCCCTGGATGCCTTGTATTCATGTAACACTCTCGACCGTGCGCCATTTTGGACTTTGGTGTAGTATTATTTGGTGCGCACGGTTAGGCGCGTCATACTGTTAACGTAACAATCCAAAATAAATAAACCCTTTTCTTATTTTACAATAACTTACGAATTTCTCGCGCGCTGATTTGGTTATCTATTATCGATAAGAGGACAGACGGATGAAGCTGACGTCAACGAGCGCGCGCTCTTTCCGTTGGTTGTTTTGATCGCTAAAAATGAGAAGTTTTATCGTTTTTGTTATTGTAAAAAACAAAACGCCTCGTGAATCTACACTACTTTGACAATGTGATGACCCAATTTATCGTCAATAAGAGGACAGACACATAAAAAACTGATGTCTATTTGTTGATTTGACAGATTCAACTCAATGGAAGAGGAATGGTTGATGTTCTCTTAAACGGTGAAATGGCGGAACTTGAACAGGAAGGGATCACAGAGTTCACGGGGGTATCCATACTGAAGTACGCTAACTTGACTAAATACTCAGTGATATTTCACTCGGGGATATCAGTTACCTTGACTGGAACTCCTCATCTACTTCAGATGATACTACTCGTACCACAGAAGTTCAAAGGTAGAATATAGTCCTACCACAGGGAGCCCAATTAAGATAAAAGTGAATGGTGAATTTTGAAGTCAAGATAATGTCCTCCAAAATACGAAAGAGTAAAAAAAAAACCCATAAAAATGCACTATAACATTTTTTTTTCGCGTGTGCCTTTTTTTTCCTTTAAAATTCCCTTATGGTATCTAGTGTCGTTGTGCTCCCTGTGGTTCTACACTATATATAGATTTCCTCATTCTTCTTCGTCGTTTAACATGGACTGCCGCGCCTTATTGCTTCTGTGTCCTATTCTTTGTCTTCTCCCTCTTCCTTCGTCAATTTCTCTTCTTCTTCTTTTTCCTACATTTCGGCCCTTTTATGGTTTCTTTTCCTTCCTCTTGTACTTCTCCTTTCTTCTTTGTCCTCCTCCACTCTTCTTCTTTCTCCTCCTCCCTTCTCCTTCTCCCTCTTTTTTCCTCCTTGTCTTTGCCTTTCCCTCCCTCCTTCTCCCTCCCACCTTCTCCCTCCTTCTTCCTTCTCCCTCCTTCTCCTATCTCCTCACTCCTCCTCCCCCTCCCTCATCCCTCCTCCTTTACAGCAAATCGTCTAACTAGCTGCGTGTCCCACATGGGCCATCTGTTAGCCAACATAGATATTTATCACCAGCTATATTTTTTGTTCCATAGGCAACACAAGTGGTCTCCTTGGTTACTGGGATGACGACAAGGAAAAGGATTTCCTTCTTCCAGATGGTACATTCATGGAAACGAATTCCAGCGCAAGAAAAATTCACTACGATTTTGCTGCAAAATGTAAGGATTTAAAAATAAAAATATAAAAAGGCATGTTTAATTGGTTGAAGCTTGCCGTTATTAGGGAAGGTACATTTTTATGGGGGGAGAGCTGGGGCTTAACAGTCACGGGTGATCAATGAGAGTTTGTATTTTTGAGGTGAGTTAAAGCTTTATATCTCGACGAAAGCTGGTTGCTTGTTGACTGTGTACCTTTGACAATAACTTTGTCATTAGTGTCTTTTGTTATAGGTAAACAATCCAATATGGCTGCCATCTCTTTTGTCAGTAAACTCTCTAGGGACTGAGTGAGAACACTCTATAGGAGGGTCATTAATTTCTTACTGAATAAAAGTGGGAGAGCTACGACCATTTTTTAAGAGTTAACTTCAGCAACCTTTTTTTCTTTCTTGAAAAAGCTGAAAAAGCTAAAAGGTCTTGTATCGACGCCATTTGAACTAGTTTACAGGCTATGTGTTCTTTAATTTATCCCTAGAAGTTTGACAAAAAAAAATTTTTTTTTTAGATTATTTATTTTTGAATTTCGTGTTTTGTGTGGAGACTGGGACTTGGGGGCTAATCTGAAAAGCATCCCTTTTTTATTTATTTTCTCATCTCTCATTTCTTTTATTTGCAAAGGGGAAACAAAGGCATTCGAATCACTCTTCAAGTACCATCAAGGAAAGGACCACTCGTCCTACTCTCGTCCCTCCTACCAACCCACCTTTATCAACAAAGACGACATCAATTTTAATAACTATGACCTCGAGAGACAGGCGCGGGCTGCCTGTGGTGGGAATGTTCAGTGTCTGTTTGACATTAGTGTGACAAAGAAGGTTGACATCGGAGTGGCTTCCCGCCAAACGTACTCTGAGTTTTCAGCTATTTTGAGTGCTACTACTAAGAAAGGTTTGTTCGTTTGTCTGCCTGCCTGCCTACCTCTCTGTCCGTCTGTTTGTCTGTCTGCCTTTCTGTCTGTCTGCCTGCCTGCCTGCCTGCCTGCCTGCCTGCCTGCCTGCCTGCCTGCCTGCCTGCCTGCCTGCCTGCCTGCCTG